TATATATATATATAATTATTTTTATAGTATATTATTTTTACTATATTATGTTATTTTGCATTAAATTATATTCTATTATATTATATCATATGGTAACATTTTATAGTATATTTATCATATTATGTTATGTTATGGTATGTTATATTATATGTATTAGTTTCTAGTCGATTATCATATATTATATTATGTTACAGTGTATTTTATGTCATGTATTGTAATGTTATATTATGTTACACTATATTATGTTATATTGTATGATATTGTATTATACTAAGCTATATTATATGTTTATCAGGTTATATTTTGACGTGTTATATTGATCAAAAAATATACTATATTATATTCATATATTTTCTTACCTTATATGTTATAATTATTATATAATTTCATAATATATTATACATGTATAAGCCCCCCCAAACCCTACGACACCCGCACAAGGTAACATAACCAGAGAAATTCTGGGTCCTAGCCTTCCTTTCGGGCTTCAGGGGCGAAAGCGCCTTTTCGTCCCGGAGTCTTCGACCTCCTCTTGGCTTCGGATGTGCCACAGATCATTCTTGTTTAGGGTTTTCAGGGTTTAGGGGCTGTAGGGCACTGTAGGGATGAAGATACTCATACTGAGGGATCAAAGACGATCATATTCAGAGACTCCCGAACCGAACTGTCTCAAAGCTTGCCTTGGTTTCCATTCACCACGGGCTTTTAGAGGCGTTGCCGTCATGCTTTAGGGCTTTTGGCTCTGCGGCTCCGTTGCTCAAGGGCTTTGAATGAGGTTCGAATGATGAAAAGGGGCTTCAAAGCGCATCACACCCTGGAGTAATCTATCCCACTAGTATAAGACGGCCCCTTGGTCGTGCTATTGTTCCTGAAGCTTTAATAATTCAAGCAGATGTTTAGAGGGCGGGTGTGATTTCAGAGGGGTTGTCCGAAAAGCGGTTTCATTCTTAAGAGGGTGCTTGACAAGAGTGTGCAGGGATCACAGGGCAGTGCTTTGGTGCCCTTTGCTTTCCCTTCCACTTCTGACAAATTCTGTAAGGTTTCACGGCTTCCTGTTTTCCCCCAAGTTTGATTTCGAGGTGCTCTTCATGGACCGGTCGCTGGCCATCAAATTCCGTGGAACTGCTGGGATCATGCCAATAAGTTGAGCCATGTATCAGGCGGGTTTGCGGCTCCATTCTTCTTTGCAAGTCATGCAAGTCTTCATTTGATAGTGCAGCTGCCGTCATCGCAAAGTTTCCCCTAAACCCTAAACCCCTAAATCCTAAACTAAGTAGGAGGCAAAAAAATCCTAAACTAAACCGGTTCCTCTAAGATTTTGCACACTGCCCTTTGTGTCGTGATGATCGAGCTGTCAGGGCCTAGGGATCCTTCTGCCTCCCGCCTCCCACTCTCATAATAATCATAGTAATTATCATAAGACTTCATCATAATAGTAGTAGTAAAAGAATAATCATAATACAGTATTAATCATAATAGTAGTAGAAATAATAATATGAGGGTTTGGATTCACTCACCAACTCATTCGCTCATTCGTTGTCGAAGCTTTCGTGACTGATGGAGATCTCTGCACGGGGACAGATGAAATCCAAACGGAATTTGCGCTAGGTGACTAGTGCAAGGCAGACGAAGCCGACAGTGAGCTCCAAGGTTGGCAGAGCCCCTGTTCTGCAGCATGGCGTGTCTGCATGCGCCTGGTCAACATCAAAGAGCCATCCTTGGGCATCAGCGACGCCGAGCCGTGTTCCGAGGTGCTGAGATGCCTTCGAAGGGGGTCCCGATCAAATGCTCAAATGTATTCGGACCATGACACTGCGAACCTCAAGCCCCTGCTCCACCCGCATGGGCCTGAATCAATCGGAAGCAGTAGCAACGGCAATAACGGCAATAGTGATGGAAGCCATACTGTTACTATTATGGTAGAATATTGCAATATTTTTGCCAATCGTACAAAACGAAGTGCAAGCCCTGAACCGGAAATCAAGCAACCATATTCGACCTTTACATTCACGAAAGCCTTGGTGAAACGGAAGCGTAGCTTTCGGCAGGCTCAGATGGAGAACCTCGAAGCTCGGTTGGGTCTGTGAGTTTAGGGTTTAGGGCTAGAGCTCTCAGGGTTAGAATTCAGTGTGCATGTCCTAGGGTTCAGGATTCAGGTCAGGTTTAGGGTCGCTTCGATGGTGTTTTGAGTTCGCTTGCGATTGTGGACTAGCTCGTCTAGGGTTCCTTGACGGAGTGGCCTCTTGAGAGTGACGCACATAGTCCCAACTGCCGACCGCAAGCTGTGAGCAGCTTGGAGCACAACCTGTAGCATCTACGGGCATAAGGTGAATCCGAGCCAAACTGTAGTGGGCGAGTGAGACTTAGGGTTCTCCTTCTTGCGAAAGGGCAATTGCTGGTGTACACGTATGCAAGAACCTAGTATAAGCACTGTCGCACTTCAAGGCAGCATGCTTGGATGAAGGCTTTGAAGTGAGCACGGTACTGCTCCCGCTTTGGTTTGCATAGTCTTGCACGTCTACTATGATTATTTATTTTCAGTGTAGCTATTATTCGTTATAATTACTATTATTGAAATGATTGTCATTATTGTTCTTTAAGGTGTAGAAGCTGAAGATTCTGCCCTTCGGCGTTTCCTTGACCTCGCTGGGCCACACGTGTACAATCAGAGCGACAATGAAGCGGAGGACAGCAGTGTTTAAGTAGTTTGGCTTCGGTCAGCATTGTGGCTTTAAGCCACACCGACAATTTTTCCGGCTGACTCATCACCAATGCCATTCCTCAGGGCTCTTCACATATTTGACCATCATCTACCCCAAAACCAGTGGCCTAGTCGTTTGTTCTCCACTCTTCTCCGTCTGGAGGTCATACTTGCTGATGCGAGCCCTTAGCCTCGTTGCTGCCCCTCCGTTCAGAGGGTTCGGGGCACAGTGTGGCATGGGATGCCCTAAACCCTAAGCCGTAAGCCCAAATCCTAGAATCTTACTCTTTCGAAAAGGAGCGATCAAGAAACAAAAACTTTGGCAACAGGAGAGTCTTGCCTTGGTCTTGGATTGGCCAGCACCGGGGCCAAATCCCACAAAGCGGCAATGCTTGGGCGAGGAAAAAGGATAGGGCGTGTACATGCACTGCAGAGACAGAGGGCTTTAATTTAAGGTTTGGGAGCTGGTTGATTTGCGGGCTTGGTCTACATGCAAACCTTTGCTTGCTACTGTAGCTTATTGGCGGCACATTGTATGTTCATCGAGGGCTTGAAGTAGACGAGGGAGGCCTAGCAAGTTCAGATTCGGATCGATTCGTTCATCCAGTGTCGGTTGATGAAGCCATTGATGACGTCAGCGCAGCATTGTGCTCTCGGTGTGGGAAAGCTTTGATGGATTGTCTTGTGGCCCGTTATTACAAGCTTGGTCTACACCTTTGTTGCTCAAGGAAATATGAGGAATCAGAGATGTTCTTCCTTGTTGCTAGTGGCTAGCAGCTCTGCTTCTACCAAGCTGTGCCCGACCAATCGCAATAAGTCGCAATGTTGTACAAGCTTATGAATACTGTAGACCCCCATTTTCGTCATGGGTGTGCGTTATCACGGACAGGCGCAACTGCTGCTGGTTGGCTCCTTTGCGTGCATCGGAGTGCTCCCTGCAAACATATATTGTGAATCGATGATTTCGTTTCCGGTTCCTCGAGTGGCAAAACTTCACAGGCCGGGTATAGTTCGGGTCGCAGGCTGGCAGAAGCTCTTGCAAGGGTGTTCACAAGGACAGGTCGATGTCCAGAGATGGAGGTGTTTGTTGCAGATGCCGGACTAAACTCTGACACGCAGTGCCGAGTTGCGAAGCTTCAACTAAAGACAGCAGAGTAAAGTGTTTGGCTCCATTCCTCTGCAGCCGACTGAATGTTCAGCTACTCACGGCATGAGGGCGTCCGCAAGTACCTCAATAGCATTGTATGTCCCGATGTGCCTCGTCCACGGCACGCCATCATTAAGAGCTAGACAAGCCTCCAAGATAGCTCAGTGCTCATGCCCTGTGATGATCGAGGGCTAGCTCCTCAGAGGTCCCTAGTGCTCACGCTGCTCCAGCATGGCAGTTCATGCAGCTTTGACAGAACACTTCTTAACTGAACCCGCGGAAGCCGATGGGGCTTCCGGACATAGAGATCTGACCCTTTGGCGTTTATGTTGGGGTCCTCTATTCTCTGAAATTCCAAATGTCTGCGCGCCTGCTGGCGCGGAATTGCGCCGCGAGCAAGGCTTTCACCTCGCAACAGGCAGGCCTCCCTTTCAGAAAATCCATATTGCTGGGCCATGGGAGATCAAGTTTATTTGTCTGTAGGGATTCTGGCCAGGTTCAGGCCATGACGGGGGCCGAACGGCCTCCTCGTACAGTAGGTGTGGAAGCTGTCCTGTGCAAATTATATTGCAGCGCTTCGGGTGTAAACTTTTGCACTGCTGTAGGGCTTCCAGGCGAACTCCAAGCGTAAGCACTTGGCATGATGTGGCCATCATCGTACGATCTGTTTGTCGTTCATGAGCCGCGTTGTCACGAAGCTTTGAACTAGTTCCTGCTTTTTGGAGAGGCCAATCCAGTAATAAGCAATACTTTCGTCGCGCCTGCTACTGCGTTTTACCTTTACCTTCGTCCCTGTTCCCGTTCCAGTCGTCCGAGCTGCAGTGATGTCAAGACACCGAAGAAGGAAGCTGGCCACTGTAGTGTAGGGGCCTCAATAATTACCAATACTATTTTGGTGGTTCCTTATTATAAATATAGTATAATGGACCCCAAAACCCTATTCTAAATATTGAGGCCACTACATTATTATGTTGCTGGAGGGTCTGATTATGTACTTCGTACCTCGCGGACATTTGCGGCCGCGGCACATGCACCCCGAAAGGGCACCAAGCCCTCTGCACGTAAGCTCAGATCATGGCTGTTGCGGGGCATGCGGTGCAGAGCTTTCGAATGTGCCAGATTATCCAGCTCTGTGCTGTCTTCCATCGTGAATATGGGGCTGGGGACAAGGAACCTTGCCTTAACTGGACAGTAGTTGCTTGCTGTTCCCTTGTCCTGGTGCTACTAGCTTACTACTCCGGCTTATTGTGACATAGTGACAGGCTGACAGGCATAGTCATGAACATGGCTGACGATGCTTCTGCTCGATGGCACTGGCGACGACAGAATAATGGCGCATAAAACGGCAGAAGTGCGGCTCCTACTGTACTGCCGCTACTATCACCAGAACGACTACGTACGACGAGGGCCTGACTGTGGGCAACAAGGGGGCTTTGCATCATGCTGTTACTGCTGCCGCTGCTGCTACTATTGCTGCTACTACTCTTAGTACGACGACGACTCCAACAACAGCAGCCGCAACATCAACAACAAGAACACCGACACCACCACCGACAACAACAACGACAACAAACACAGCAGCAGCAGCAGCTGCTGCTGCTGCTGCTGCTGCAGCAGTAGCAGCAACGGTAGCCGCAACAACAAGAATAAGCACACCAACTAGCCCTGCAGCTACCACAGCTTTGCTACTGCTGCCACTTTTGCTGCTACCCGCCGCCGCTACTGCTGCTACTGCTGCTGCTGCTGCTGCTGCTGCTGCTGCTGCTGCAGCTACTGCTACTGCTACTGCTACTGCTGCTGCTGCCGCTGCCGCTGCCGCTGCCGCTGCTGCTGCCGCTGCTGCTGCTGCTACTTCTTCCTTCAATAGTGTTATTGCGCAAAGTGCAGCAGCATTGCACAGCGAGACGAAAAAACAAGCGTTAAACTGGCTGTCGTTACCGCTGCTGCTTGTGGCTGTGATGAGGGACAATCGCCGCCACGGCAGCCACCACTCTCTCAATCTTTTTGAACCTTTGATGGCTGTCCTTAGTGCTGCATGGATATAAACTTTCCGTGAGCGTATGTCTGCATCCATGGCTGTTGCTTTGTCTGCATTCTGCTGCGTGTAGAGCTCATGATCTTCATGATCTAATGAGACTACATAGGGCCGCAAAACGAGCAGTTTCAAGAATCAGCCGAAGCCACAAGCATGTAACAAGAAACCTTGACACCCAGACCCCCGTGACCAGTACCCGAGGTGAAGCTGGAAGAGCTGAGCACCTCAATGCTTGAGACCCTTGTTTGTTGCTAACGCTTGTCTTGAAAGCGTGTGCTATTCTTTGGGGTGTCTCCTTGCTCAGGATGTTTTCGCATGTTGGTTGTTGGTGTCCAGCGAAGCTTGCGGAGTTCTGGGCACAGGCTTCGCGTACTGTGTCATGATGATACTTGACGCCAAGTCCGTATCTACGATACAGGAGGCGGTCGACAAAGGGGCCTTGTTATGTGCACTTTGGGGGAAGGTGCCCCTTGAGACTATAGCTTTTAACCGTGTGGCTTCCCTTGGCCCATACTTGTTTCTGTGTCGTCCATCTAGCATTGCAGAAGTGAAGTGCAGGACGTCTTAGATGATGACGATGACGCACGACAATAAACAATGACGTTTTTTGACCCTAGGGCGAGGTGGATCGCCCCCCGTTGCGACAGTCCATGCCGCAACCAGAAAAAATTCCGAAGCACTACACCACAAAACCCTGTTATCAGCCTGAGTAACGCACTTCCTCAGGGTTTCTCATGATAGTCAACATGACCCTACATGAAATGAGAGACCCGCTTCAACCCTAAACCCAAAAAGGTTCGCTCTGACGCACAAAACTGAGGAAGCTGCACTTACTGCGGCCGAGGGAGGCCTCTTGAGATGCAAAGTGCTGATTTCAACCTACCTTAAGAACCCAAAACCTAAGTACTTTTTTGTACGGTCCCTATAAATCCCATATTAGGGTTTATAATAAGAACCTACAAAAAAAGTGGGTTTTGGGTTCTTAAGGTAAACCTAAATCCTACACCCCAATGCAAGCACGAAGCCCCAAAACCCTAAACCGAGTCGCGAAAGTCCAAACCAGAAACCTACACCCCACACCCCCTCGAAGTCCCCAGCCCTGCTTGGAGCGCCGGAGATTTCGTGTTCAGTGGTTGAAACCTCGGAGCCATAAACCTTAAACCTAACCAGTACCGGTCAAGCGAAATTGCAAACAGTGTCACCCGATCTGCGACTATGGAACCTCGCGTGGCTTGTCCGAGTTGTGAGAGCGTCAACCCTAACCCTTGCTTGGAGGTTCATGGGTATAGTTATCAGTAGGGTTATAAGTAGGGTAACTATAATTATAGCTCATATTAGGGGACTTGTAACCCCACATATAACTACCCATGAACCTCCAAGTGGTGTTCCCAGCAGCAGTGGGCTGAAGCAACCTTCGGAGCCTCAAAATCGTCAGAACTTCGGCGTACCTTACGTAATGTAGGGGCCCAAATGAGTACCAATACTATTTTGGGGCTTCCTTATTCTAGTTATAGTATAATGGGCACCAAAACCCTATTCTAAATGTTAAGGCCCCAATATTAGGGCTGTGCAGGGAAAGAACCTGCAGAGTCCCAAAATGTTTGGCGTCCCCCCCTCCCCCCATGACTTTTGACCAAAAGCTCCTACCCGCGAGGGCAGCTTGGGGAAACCCTAAACCCTAAACCTTCCTGGCTAGTCCGAGTTGTGAGTGAAAAAACCTTCGGAGAGACCCGAAAATACTTCCGAAGCAACCCAGCGCCCAGTAGAAGCCCAGGCCCGAAAACTCGCAAGAGCCTTTGTTCTTTAGACATTCCGTTCAGGTCACAATATAGGGTTTGGGTATAGGGTTTAGGGTTTAGGGCAGTTTAGGGTTCAGGGTTAAGTTCTGGGCATCGGGACTTCGCCTCTGACAGCTTTAAAGTTAAAGGGGAGTGCCCGAAAAAGAAGGGGTACCTTCATTTTGGGGCCCTTATGATAAGGATCCTACTATTTCGGGTCCTGTGTTCGGGCCCCCGGTAACTTTCGGGAAACCCCCAAATTGCCAAGACTCCAAGCCACTCCCGTCCCTCATCTCCGACAGCCGCAGCTTCAACACGGGCTAGGCTTAATTCAGGATCTAGGGCTTTCGGGTGTTAGAGCTTGCCTAAGCCAATCCCCATTTCCTACACTTCGATCGAGGTATCGATGCTGTTGAGTCCCGGCTGCATGTTGAGCTGTGGCTTAAGACTTGGATTGGTTTTCGGCCCTTGAGGCCTGGCTTGGACATTTTTGCGGATCTGTTTCAGGGCACCTGTCAGAGGTCGCAGGCCCTCGCACTTGTCCCTAGACCTTAAGTCGTGAAACGGTTGATGATATACATCCTGCACTACCCATAAAAAGGACTATACCATAATTCCCATAGTTTAGGCCTTAAAGGTAATGCAGGAAATATTATCAGGAGTATGTGTCGGCTTGCGGGCTGGACTGCCGTGGGCGCCTGACAGTTAGCCGACCCCGAATGCTTCTACGGAAAACCCCAGGCTATAACCGGCCATAGCCGGAAACCCAAACCTTGGATACTGCCCCCACTCATTACCAGTTGCATAGTACTTATCATGAAGCCATATCAGGCCCCGAAGAATAGCCTTATTACAGACTGTTACTGTATGGGGGCAGTATTCAACCTAAATGGGAGATTCCGAAAATTAGGGATACCTTAGTTTGGGGTCCTTATAATAAGGATCCTAGAATTTAGGGTACTATATTAGGGTCCCCTATTTTCGGAAACCCCTAAACCTGTCAGCCGAGCCCAAAAGAGCCGAAGAGACCCGGCCGAGGAACCATCTGGCCTTCTCACAGGTCGTTGAAAAGCCCTTTTGGCAGAAGGTGTCGGATCGTGTGCCAGAGGCATCTTAGGGTTTAGGGGTTTAGGGTAGAGTCTGGGTTCAAAAAGGGGTTTAGGGTCCGGGCTCTTAAGTTCAAGGGCGAGGCTTGCTGCGGGGTGTGGTTTTAGCTGTGGCAGTCATCATCTGTTTGCGGTGGTTGTTGTAGGTTGTCCCGTGGTGGGTATGGTCATCCTGCCTGTGACAGGTGTTCGATGGGACTTCCAATTTGGGAGTTTCCGAAAATTAGGGTACCCTATTTTGGGGTCCTTATAATAAGGATCCTACTATTTAGGGTACTATATTAGGGTCCCCTATTTTCTGAAACCCCCATTTTTCCTTTGCTCCAAGACGGCATGCTTTCAACCGAGCCTGTCCCCAGAATTCGGATCGCAGTGCAAGAGGACCTTCAGGCTTTTGCCTTCAAGAGCCCATGAACTTCAGCGGCTGCCACGGGGTACAGTGTCCCAGGAGTTCTCGTACTCAGGATATTTCTCGCTGTGCAGCCTTTTTTATCGTGTCATGCTGCAGATGCATGGTTAATCTCTGTTGCAGTCAGCCATGATTCTGGGTTTACGGGCCGCGGCTGCATGAAACAACTGGAGTTGACCATGCCAGCAAAGCATTGCGGCGCTAGCGAGTCTCGCGCCCTCCAAAGGCCCTACCCAATGCTGGCCTCTGCGCACTAGACCCTACACCCCAAAGTCTACAACCTGAACCTATGCACCAAACCCTACACCCTGAACCAGATCTACTTCGACTCGGACGCGACCAGCCTGAGCCTTACCATCAACGCTTTCGCGCGGGCGATGTTGAAGCACGAGACGGCTATCCAGTTTATGAGCAATGAGGCCCGGCGGGCGGACTGCAAGACCTGTAGGAATTCGATTCAAGAAATTCCGAGATCTCGTGAACTCTTTGACAAATTCGGGTGGTTACCGGCTTCTACATCAGGTTTTTATCACAGTTGGTCCACTTCCCCTTTGGGCCTTCCACTGAGTTTGGCTTTTCGGCCTAGTTTCACACTAATTGCATGTTTTGGTGCATCTGGATATGCAGATTCGTACATGGGGAGCTTGGCTCTTCCTCCATTGTCCATTGCGAACGACTAGGTCCCCCCATGGCGATGCACCTGTACAAAAGCAGCCGGACACACGAACCGCATATGCTCAATCCTACAGATCACCTGCCCACCAGGTCATGCGGCTTGCCAACAGGGGCAGCAGTTATCTGACACCACGCAGCATTGTGGCTTTTCTGATAATTACGGATTTGGGGCTTGGGTCTCATATTTTATTTGCATCATTGAATCAGCATGAAATTGTGCTAGGGTTCTCCATGGTCCGCTGCTCTCTGAGTCAATGGTGGTGAACGGAATGTCGAAGCTTCGCATACGAGATGCCTGGCTGCACTGCATCGGCTTCATGACAATCGCGTGTGGCCCGAAGATTTGACAGTCACGGCCTTTGCGAAATACATCCCTTGGTAAAAATGCCTCCGACAGAAGTCTTGATACAGTATGTATAACTAAGTTTGATTAAGAAACCTTTGGTATGGAATTCCCATAATCAACGGATCTAACCAAGGAGATGTTTCTGAGGCTACGCTTATGTTGATTTACTCGCAAGAACAAGACTATTTTTCATATTAAACTTGATAGCAGGAGGCGAGTCCCTTATGAATAAATGTAAATTTATCAATAGTAAAACTTAGAAACAACAATAACAGCAATACCAATATCAGCTTGAGGTTAAATTAGAAGTAATTAACACCACCACTAGCACTACTACTACAACTACGACTACTACTACTACTACTACTACTACTACTACTACTCCTACTCCTACAACAACAACAACAACTACTACTACTACTACTACTACTCCTGCTGCTGCTGCTACTGCTGCTACTACTACTACTACTACTACTACTACTACTCCTTCCACTACTACTACTACTACTACTACTACTACTACTACGACGACTGCTACTACTACTGCTAGTACTACTACTACTACTACTACTACTACTACTACTACGACTGCTACTACTACTGCTAGTACTACTACTACTACTACTACTACTACTACTACTACTACTTCGAAACTACAGGAACGGATAACCCCACATGAGTATGTTCTGTTTGTGAAGCTTGGGTATGTGGCGAGTGAAGGCGCGAGTAATGTAGTGGATGGTGATGGACGTAGTCCAGTGGATGGTGATGGACGGGCGGATGTGTGTGTGTGTGTGACTTCTGTTCGGGAGTGGAAGTATCGGTCATTGACTCCGTTCAAGTACAACGACGACAACGACAACAGCAACGACCACGACGACGACAACGACAACCACACCAACACCGACACCACACACCACCACCGCCACCACCACCGCCACCACCGCCAC